ATGATTTTGAATCCCCAGTCGGCACTATTTCGCAGCGGGCTGACGTGCGCACCAACCACTGCTGCGGGACAACCTGGCCCTCGGGTGCGACAGCTTCACGCGCGATGCGCACCCATGCATGCTCGAGGGGCTTCGCTCGGCAGGCGAGCAGTCCGGTTCGAGGGCACGCTGTGTGGTGGTCGCCATAGTCGACGCCGCAGCCATGCCCGTGTGCGCCACATTTGTGTGGAGCGACAGGCAAATGCAACCGCAGCATGCCGCCGCAAAGCGGCTGTGAGCATGCGGTCGGGCGGCAGACCGGAGCCAGCTTCCCTCGGGATGGCATTGAGCCACGCGGCTGGATTTCTTGAAACGAAGGCTAAATGCGTGTAGTAGGCCTTGCGCTGTACATCCGGTTTCCTTGCCTCCAGTGCCCTCATGCTGGAGCCTGCGTTTGCTACTGTATGTCGCGAGGCCGGAACACAGGTCGTGCTGAACGGTTGGTTGCGTGAACAACGATGTCCTTGTCAGCGATAAGCGATTCATGCTGCAATTGACGCCGCGATCGCCGGCCCAACCACCCGATGGAGCTTCAGGGCCGCCCGACACGCACGAGTCGTCGTGGTCGCGATGGAGGTCGGTGGGTGCCCGTCGCTGCCATGCGTGCCTAACACACGGGCTCCTTGCTTCAGCTCCACCTGCGCTCAGGCATCCCGGCCCCCGGCCCACCTGCGCGGAGTCGGAGCACGGGATTGCCGCCAGCATCCGCCAGCCGATCTGAGACAAACAATCCCTGCGTGGGCACGTCTGCAGCCATGGAAATGGATCCGAAATCGAGCTCCCACAAGCGACGCTTTTGAATCGAAGGGTATCGACCAAAACGTCACTTGTCCTGCATCTGCTGCCGCATCGGCCCCGAGCAGTTTCTTCGGATGGAAAACGACATTGCATGACTCCCGGCGCGCACCACGACACAATGTGCTTGTGCAATGCTATGATTTCAATATATTTCAATCCAACACCAGCTCCATATGCCCACACGAAACCCTCCCCGAACTATCGCATGCCACATGCGCAGCGCTGCCTTGCTCATCACCCTAATCACTCAACATGGCGGACGCACGACAGCTTGGGAAACATGCTAATCATGTTGTCATATGCATCGAAGCAGTCAGTCCAAGAACGACAACCACAACCAAGTCGGGAACAAACAAAAATGAAACTGCGAACATCCACATGCCTGACGATTGACAACTACGACGCTACGGCTCGGATCTCATCTCAGCGCCAACAAACAGGTCATTAGAAACACCAGCCCTGTGCAAACGCAACATGGCACCATCACGCCATGCAACGTCAAATGCCTTACGTATGTCAAGCAATGCACAATAAGTCGGCACGTCTTCGCAAAACCGGAGGGTCTCTAATAGAGCGTAGCTAGGAGCCTCCTCACTACGAAGGGGTTACCCTCTTCGACCGGTGGGGTATCCAGCCCAGCGGC